CGGCCCTCGTGTTTGAGACCAAAACGCATGGCCAATCAAGCATCGGACATTCTAATTAGCTGGTCATTTGCATCAGCAACGGGGCGGACGACCCCCCACCCCTCTTGGGCATGGTGCATAAGTACGTCAATTTCAGAAGTGGAGTACTTTTTCCACGGCTTTCTAATTAAGTTCAGGGTTGAAAGTGGAAGCTTTTTATACGCTATGATAAAGTGACCCCACCTGGGAAAATGTTATCTAAGGGGATACTAATATCATGACTTCCCACACACCGCCGTTTGCAACGCTGAGTTCAAATATGGTGCCGTGATAAAAGTACCCCACCCCTCGAAAATGACGTCGGAATTTGTGCATGACCCTTTTTCCTTTCCCCCGTGTGGCTCTGATTGTCACCTACAAGGTGCCCGTAGGGATACCGTATACCTTCCGTTGCTTCCGTTCTCACGCGGCGCTGTCTGCGCACGTTCAAGAGCACTGGGGCAAACAAGTCATGGCCGTGGCGTCACCTGAACGTCAGTCTGCCGGACGTCAGCCCGGTCCCCCTCACTGCTCATTCTGCTCATTGGCCGGGGACGGATATCGCTCGGGGGTCTTATCAAAATGAAACAGAAACCCCCCCGCTCCGCTTCGTTGAACACTATTCGCTAAGTGGACTCGCACCTGAACGCCCGAGCGGGCCATGAAGGGCTTTCGCAATGGCGAACGAGAGCCGCTCGCATGGGGCAGGAGGGGGGCACCGGCACTTGTTGGCGCCATGAGTGAGACCTTTAATCGGCTAAGGACATGGGCACCTGCACAAGTTATTCACGGCGTTCTATCGTGCCTCCGTTCTTGTCGCCACGCATATGGTGCCCCAGCCACTGGGGCACGACTACGACTAAACAATCACCCCGCAGACCGCAGGACAGAACTTACTGTGGAGATTCCCCTGCAGGTGAACAACTAAGAAACATTGGAAACAAGTCCCTGTCAGTCGATGACTTATTTGATGCTCAACTTCTCTGTCCCACCTCCTCCCGGTGCATGTCAAGGCCACTCTAATTCCGCTCGGGCCGCCGTATAAGGAAATGACGACTTTCCCAAACGATTTGGATCCTGTGAAGGCAAACTTGTCGCAGGCGTGCACCAAAGGAAGGAAATGTATATGCCAGGATGTAGTGTCCTGTCGACTGCTGGCTTCCCCTCCACACCTTTACTGCCTCTACCGCTTGGAAGAACAAGGGTTTGTTTTTCTCACACAGGAAATTCAGTCCTGCGGGGGGAATACCTGGTGGTGGGTAGGCAATTTGTCGTACAAATCTACGTATACCAGCAGCAGGCTTTACTCGTCCCGCAACAAGCTCTTTTGGTCGAGGCTGTACCGCAACGCACTCGTGCGGGCGTGTTGCCTAATCGCTCGGGCACCATGCTCGCGCAGCTCTTCAGAGACGAGCAAAATAATGCAAGCTAATAATTACTTTCAAAAAGTTCTATAAGGTAGAATTCAACCCAAAATCGACCGAAAGTTTACAAAACTTTAAATTTAACAAAATGACCGACACAGGATAAAAGCGCCCTAAAATTTCAAAGTCCATCAATATATATTCCTCTGGGCTGCCAGCTGATGATATCTTTTGCTGCGTCACGATTGTGGAACCAGTTCGCCCGCGCCGTATGGTGTTACGAGGCGATGTCCCTGACCAACCGGCGGCGGCTGCCTCTCTGACCAGCGGCCTGGCGAGACACGCGGGGCGCGGCGGGGCGCGGTGGGGCAAGGGATTTCAAAGACCGAAAAATTTTCCGGGGAAATTGGAAACTTCACCTAAAAAAAATTAGGAAAAAATTGAAACATTTCCATAAAAACGGGGGAAAAGTTAAACTTTCTCAAAAAAAAGTTGAAGATTCAAAAAAATTCTCAAAAATACTTTTTAGGAAGAATCAAAATCCCCAGGCGGAGGGTCGTGTGGCGCTCCCATATATGATGCTCTGTTTGATAGTCCTCCTAGCGCCACTATATACTCGGGCCGATAACGGAAGTGCAGCTTCACGCCTTATCTCGGCGTTTTTCGCGCGGCCTGTCACCGGGGTCGCGAATCAATATCGCTAATGACGGGGAGTACACAGCCGTCAGCGGGTTCGACGACG